GATTAAAAATGCGATTAATTGCGATTAATTAATTACAAAGCCTGTAATTAATTAGATTAATTTTTTTAATCGAGTCCCGGCCCTAGTCTTTACGTTTCACAGACTGTTAGCTTGTTGTGGTAGGCTGGTAGCCTATTTTATTAAAGAGCATATCAAAAGAAAGACTTGTGTTATGTCTTCCTTAATGCAATAGTAATTGGGGGTGCAAGTGGAGTCTCGCGGAGGCAAAACTGTGGCGCGCTTACACTGTAGGTGCGCCGCAGTCTGCGTGATCTGCCTGTAGGGAGGGGCGGGCCGGCCCTGCGAGTAAAGTAATGAGGAAAGTAACGAGTAAAGTAACGAGTAAAGTAACGAGTTACTTTATGTAGACAGTAACGAAGTAGTGTAATATATTACTTTTTTTAAATGTAATATGTAATATATTACTTTTTTTTAGTAACGACCCCATCTCTGCATGTAATGTGGTCATACAATTAGCAGCGTCTTCTCATGTTTGTATACATTATGGCTCCTGTGTTGTCCTATGTCCTAGTACTTTTTCATAAACCAAAGAAGTACAGAGAGTACGCCGTGGGCTCCAAGTCAGCTTATTCTTTTGGTACACAGACAAAACTCAACGTGTCATTTTTCCACCCATTTATATTAATAATGTAGAATGAAGACATTTTGGTTGGTTACAAACATGCACTTAAATAGGTTGTGGTTCATTTCCTAATCCAAGCAAAGACCGGTAGCCAAACATATTTCTAAGTTGTTAAGTGCTGATGTGGGACAAAACTTTAGTTTTGCAAGTCTCAACTTAAATGTAATAGGTAAAAGCTAAATGATCAGCATTATTACAATGGCTCAGGCTCTAGTACCAGTTAAGCTCCTACATTTTTGTAATTTCTAAATTGAATATTTTTAATATTGAGTCTTTACATTTGAACATCCAATCACAATTGTTTGTTCAATGTATAATTGGTTAATAAAATATTAGTGCAATTAAGCTTCTTTGCTACATTTTGGTCAAGCTTCACAGTCACGACAAACTCTTACTTTGCAGAACTGGTGTTTGTTTTTCTTTCTTTCCAAATGGTTGCAATCTTTCATCTCAACACTTCTAAACATCTAAATGTGTCTCAGTGGTTTAAGTAGCCGTTTGTGGTTCCCATTGACTTAACATACGAATAGACAGCTTTACAGATGAGGTATTTAAACCTCAATGACTGCAGGTGTCTGTTTTGCAGAGTAGGAAAGGGGTTCTCTAAAATTGTGTGCATATTTTCTACAGATGAAAAACAAGCTATTTACATTGAAGCACATTCAGTCCTTCAGTCAGTCACTAGGGAATACTATATATTTTTAACCCCTAACACAAATACTCAGATATATACATCACTAGCCAGAGACTAATTATAGTGCGGTGACATCAGCTGTCACTGGTGCAGAGACAAGCAAATACTTTCTGGAGAGCAGATGTACCATGTTACAGTATTAATTACACCTACTCACCATTTGTTTAATACTTACTTGTAACTTTGATTAAATAGATGGATGGCATGACAAATGCTTCCCTGAAAAACAATGGCTTGTCTTATTACAAAGTGAACAAATCTGCCAGTGCAGAACACATCAACTAGCATTAATTTTCAACTTTGATATCTTGTTCTTTTTCTTTTATATTAAGTTATGATCTGCCTTATTTTTTCTTCAATCCAGATACTGACACTTTTTTTTGGTAAAATGTTTAAATAATTTAATTGCTTTGTATTGAATACAACTTTTCTTGTTTGAATAAAACAAATGTTTAGGATTCAATAGGCCAAAAGACTTAACAAAATAGCTGCTAAGAAAATGACTTTTGCAAACTCTTCTGGGGAATGTCTCAAAAACCAAAACCTAAAGTAGACATGAACATGGCAGTATACACTTATATAATGGATAAAGTCAACCAATTTGACAAGAATCCACTTGATAGACTAAAGATATTTGACACAAGGTATTAATAGTCAAAGGAAAGTTAAAACCAACACGTTTCCTAACACACCCTAAATTCACAGATCCTTTTTTTACATTACGCTATGTTTGGAGTTATTAATCCAGATTTACCCTGGTGGTCTGTCACTTCAGCCTGCAACAACATCATCCATCATATTGGCAGATAAACTCCTTTAAGACTGATTTTTCAATATTCTTTATAAGTTAGTTGCGCATAGAAAATGAAAATGAATGTTTAATAATCTACACGTCTGGGTTTAAAACTTTTATTTCAGATATTGTGCATGGCACTGTTACTCTCACTATAGAACAGAACAGAGACATCATTTATGTTATTAGTAACACATGTGCTTCTCCTAATGTGACAAGTGAAATGTCTGCTGTGAAATTGTAATAGTTTTGGTAATCCTCTGACTGAACATTCAGTATATTTATGTTGAAAAGTAAAGTAGGTAAAATCAGGAAAATGTAAGAAAAATACAAATTGATAAATGTCCGAGGCTGTGAGTGTAATAATGTAACATGTGCAATTATTTGATTATTATTATCACTCATGTATTCATGTGAAAGCAAGATTAAATGCTGTAGTTGGTAGTTGTGTAATTTGTGAGATTCTCACTAATGATTTTTTTAATTGAGTATTGAATATTTTGTCCATTAATTGAATAATTGGTTTTTTTTAAATAATGAATGTTCAATATAAACCAGAGCCTTAAAATGTGCTAGGTGACTAGAAGGAAAGCCAATATGCTCATTAAGATGCTATCAATTTTTGCAATGTGTTTTCAACATATTGTTTCAAGTCTAAAACGTTCATGTTTTATTTTTTTTAAATCTTAATGCATTTTGAATACACAAATCTAAATTTGTAAAGTAATTTAAGGGGTCATACCTTTTTTCATAGTCTGGCTTTTACGTACACTATTTCCCTCTCTGTAGAAGTGAAACTTGGTTTATAGAAGATACTTAAGTAAAGTACCCCAATGTTCTCGTTTGACAGTATTTGAGCTAATTTGGCATTTCATACTTTACACACGTAATTTTTTTTTTTGTCAACTCGCCTGGTCCTCCTTGTCTACAGGTGGCAGCAGTGCTAGCCTGCTGTAGCTACAGTGCTGGGAGCTGGGTCGCCGCCCTAGCAACAAGCTGCATAGATAAAACATCCGCCCTGTTTTACCCATCATCAGCGGGTCCCGTTTAGGAATAAGGACATTTTAACGTGGGCTTTTCCCCCTTTTTTAAATGGACAATTTGCAAACAGGGGATCCACGGTATCTGAAAAGGTAACGGCTGCTAACGCTAGCTTGTTTAAGTTTGCACCGTGAGGGAACAGGTCGATGAGGCAGCAGGATGCTCAGTGATAGCCTAACGGGACATTTAAATGACTGACTGCTAAACTAACTCTGTTACAAATATTCGTGTTACAAATATGAATGTATTTCTGTGCAAAAACAGAAGTAACAACACTACAGTTAGCATCATATTAGTAGGATCTGTCTTAGGGTGTGTACGTAAAGAAAAATCGATTAAACGTGACATGAAAAAACCTGCAGCCACCATCGAAATTAGTAACTAAAATAATGAGAACGATTCAGGTTTATTAAACAATACTGTATTGCTTGTTTGTTTGTTTGTTTTTACACCCCTACAAAAATATATGAGTGAAAAGTAACTTAATTACATTTAGTATTAAAACTGCGTATCATCTAACGTTTGAAAGTACTTGTAATTAGCTCAGGTAATTGCATATTGGTTGGTACATTTTATATTTTTTGCTGAACTACATTATTTTCCAACTTTAGCCACAATATTATTTTAGATATTAATTAATGAATACTATCAAAATAAGCCACACATTCATCAGCTGCAAAATGTTTATAAACATGTAATAATTGTATATGTTTTTAAAAACCCTTCTGATGATTCTGACATCATCTGGTTAGCTCTTCTTAATCAGGACCCTGACACATAGGATACACGAGTATTCAAAGAAGCAGAGTATTTCTTATGATGCTTGCCTCCTTGTTTAGCTGAAGGGAGATGAAAGGGTTAAACACAGTGAGGGCTGGCAGAACTGTATGCAAACACAAACATATCGTACACAATTTCTCAAACACATACCATTTATCGAGTACACAGATGTACATCTGCTATATTTAGCCTATATAACAATATTAATGTATTTTATATTACTGACTTTAGCTTACTTTGTGTCTTTGTGACCAACAGGAAAGTGAAGGGCTGTACTCTCGATGTACACCCCACTGAGAGGGCTCTTATCGTTCAATATGAGGTGGAGGCCACTGTCCTGGGAGAGCTGGGGATCCCAATGGTTGGAGAACGCAAAGAGTGTCAGAAAATGTGAGAATCAAACTTAAGACAAATTATGATCGTGTATCAAACAATATCAATCTGATTCTGTATCATGATTTCAATTTTTTCTATAAGTCTGAGAGCCAGTGTTATTCTCAAAAGCTGTAATTTCCCTTGGTCTATATGTTTGTGCTCCCTACAGTATTCGTCTAAAAAGCCTGAACGCCCACACAGATACGGCCTCTTTGGCCCGAAAGGTCGTGGAGGAATGTCGACTGATTCACTCTTCCAAACTCCTCGAGGTGGAGCAGCTGCTCTTTTATTTGCAAAACCGCAAACAGTCAAATGGTATTTATAATCACTACTTTATAACAACATAGATGTGTCTGTGGTAACACAACTTTTCTTACTAAAAGGTAAACGTGGAAGTAATTTGTCTTTGTGATGCTGAATTTAACCTTTCACAGACAACCAAGAGAAGAAACACATCTCATCTCGAGAGCTCAAACCTTACACAGGAGTGGAGGTAGAAGTTAAGCTTTACAGTACAATATGTTTGTGTTTGCAGTTCTGAAGACGTTTGCCAGTCCTCAATATGCTTAACCCTTTCATCCCCCTTAAGCTGGACGAGGAGGCAAGCATCAACAGCATCGATGAGTATGTGGAGCTGCTGTATGAAGACATCCAGGAGAAGATCAGAGGAGCCACCCTCATCTTCCAACTAGCTCGAAACCCAGACAACCTGGAGGAACTCATACAAAACGGTACATTGAATATAAAAGTACATTAATAGCATGTTGTCCATATTTACATTTAATCCCTCAAATGGTCAAGTAACTTAGGTTGACACACCATGTCCGTTCCAGCTTTGTTTCAGATTTAAATAAAAATGTCCCGAAGTGTAGCCTTGCTTTGTTCACAGTATGCCGACAAAGCTAGTCATTTCCATTATAAACTGATGACATGACTCTACAAACTGATGTGCAACAAATCAAAGTTGAGCTGGTCTCAAACGTTCTTTTCAGCGTCCAATGACGCGGTCAACCAATCATAGTTTTTTGTTTCACCATTTTGGACTTCCCATTGTTTTTTTTTAACGCCATTACAATTTAACAGCAAAAATGTAGCTAGCCACCCTGTTTTTAACTTTGCTTCTTGTAGTGTCAACAAGAAGTAGTGTTTGGCAGTACACAAATTGAATTCAGGTCTCGGGTATTGTTTAGGCAGTGGTATCAACACATTTCTAACAAGACCAATTTCTACTGGTATATTGATCACTTCAGGGTACAGAGAGCACAAAAGAAAAGATAAATAAAAGATATTTCATGAAATGTAACATTCCTCTTAATAAAAGGATTCATGAGTTACTAAGTATTATGTGAACAATTTCTAAATATCAATTTCAAGTTTTAACATGAATGTGGTCACGAAGGTCAGCAACGGTCTGCAATATGTTGTTATAAGCAGACCCCAAATGTAGTATAAACAGATCCGCCTCTGCGTCCGATGTCCATTTTGTACTATTTCTGTCCCTTTACATACTGAAGCTGACAAAACTTTTGTGAAGCGCATGCAGGGAAAGGCATGTGAATGGCCTTCGTCTGTTAGCCATCCAGTGACTGTTGGTATGATGGCTATCTGTGTGACATCTGAGCAGACTGCATCTCCAGAGGAAGATCTTGAGATGTGGTTGACAGCTCTAAAAAAGTCAAGGATGAACTTTGATGCTCAATTATTCAGAACGTGTTCATTTTCTGAAAATAAACTTTTCCTGGCAAAGTGGATCCAATGGCTAAAGTTGAAAAGCGCAGCCATATTCCAGATTCTCAAGCTAAAACTGGATTTTTTTACAAAAACTTTTTGTATTGCTTGAGTGTCTGACATTTATCAGCATGTCCTCTCTGCTCCCCTTTTAAAGAAAACAAAGCTCAGCTTCACTTCTGCTCCCTTCCGTGACAACCGGGCTGTTTCTCTCACAACAGCACGAAGCCATCATCCTGTGCTGCCGCGGTGAGATGGCACAGCTTCATTTGTATCTGTCATAACGCGCCGTCCGCTCACTCTGTCTGCCGCACCGCATCAACCGGTCCAATGTTGATAAGAGCAGAGTGTTCGTGTGAACCCAGAGGAATGGGGTCAGGGTGGAAAGCGGAGACAAACCCTGGGACACACGTCTTTAGGTTGAGAAGCACCCATCGCTCAAAATCCTCAGGAGCCTCCGACCTCATCGCATTCCCCCACGCTTCTTCAAATTAACCTCAAGCTGCACCGCCCTCTGCGCAATCTGACTCTGATTGAATTCCACACACAGACACTTTTGTTTTACTTTCTCATCTGTAGTCATTCCTTATTATCTTGCCTTCTCTTTGTTTGACCTTTTCTTTAATTCTGCCTTTGTGTGCGTGTCTTTATTGACATGTTTTTGTTCGCCATCATCAGAGGCGGCCATTGGAGCCCTGGCCAGAGTATTGAGGGAGGACTGGAAGCAGAGCGTGGACCTGGCAACAACCATCATCTATGTCTTTTTCTGCTTCTCCAGGTAAACCTGCTGTTCTAAAAAAACACAAAGTTTCTGCTTCTCATTTATTTATATTGGGTGTTTGTGATCGCTTTTATGTGTTATTTTTTTATTTGTTGTTTTTGTTTGCATACAAAGACCTTGACATATCCTAATGTGCTATACCAACAGAGTGCTGCAGTCCTTAAACTCGGAAAGGACTTGGACATTTTTGCACTGCCTGTTTCCTCAATGTTAGTAAAAAAGAAATTGTTACATCCCTGTGGTCAAAACAAGCTTAACATATTCTATATCTAAATAACTACACTGATTGCATTTACGCCTCAAACTTGTGCTAGTACCATGAACTATCATTCTAATTTTCAAAAATGTATTTTAATAATCTTGGTTACTTTTTAAAAAGGAAACCAGGGTCATGCTAACTTTCTGGTTAACATGCAAAAGTACTTAATCCCTAAATCCTTCCATATGTGTTGAGTTGGTATTAAATGCAATATGGCTGTGGATTTTGAGGATGCCAGTTTAAAGTAATGCCTTACACATTGAAGTTGTTTAAAACTTATTTTATCATCTTCAATGTTTCATGGTTTCATGGTGACTGCATTATGTAAATGTATTCATTAACCCATGCCCCAGCCAAAGACTTTTACTGTCACACAGAACCGTGTGCTTGTAAACGTGCACTTTAATACTATGTGATCCGGCTCACAGTTGTTGATCCAGTCCATCCCAAAGGTGTTGGAAGGGTTCAAGTCGGACAGTCAAGACACTCGAAAAAAAAATGCAAGGGCTGCATTTTCATGTAAACAGGAAAGAGACTAGTATTAAGAATTCCCTGTCATTGGGACCAAGAAGCTGAAACAAGGACCATAAGCTTAAATCAACAGAACACAAATTCACATTCTTTTGTATTTGCAGCACAAAGCCAGTAAACCAGAATAAGTCAGTTAAACATTTTTAAGAGCCATATGGTTGCCTCCTTGTGTGCAGTAACGATACATTTCTGTTGTAACATCACTGACCCACACCCCCAATTGCCTCTGCTCTCTTTTCTTTTTTACTGCTCTCCCCCTTTCTTACAGTAGTCATCCACCTTTTGGCAGCATACCTAGTACTGAAGTTTCACTCTCCAACTGGGGGTTAGGAAACACTAAAATTAGCCCTTGCTAGAATAATACATAAATGTCTGTCAGAGCTGATTTAGGAAGCGAGAGGACGTGTTCTTCTGAAAACTGATCGTCACTCTTGGCTCCTTTCCATCTCCATGTTATGCTGTTTGGATTGTGGAACTGTTCAAGTTGGACTGATTATAAGTCGGACCAGGACGTACTGTTTGACTGAATGTGTTTTGACTTTGACAGTTTACTTTGTAAACTACTTCAGGGGTGACAGATTGGGTCATTTTAGTGACAGCTCCCAGCTGGAATCCTCTAATCAAGGTAGATTTTTCAGTTTTCAAAACAATTTTGGATAAATAGTATTTTTCTCTTTCTCTCCCTCTTATTTTTCTCCTCTAGTTTCTCCCAGTTCCATGGCCTGGTCACACATTTCAAGATCGGAGCCCTGTGTATGAATATTATTGAGCATGAGCTGAAGAGATATGACCTCTGGCAAGACGAACTACAGAAGAAGAAAAAGGCCTATATCCTTTTTAAGAGTGGAACATCTTTTTTATTTGAAAGCCATTCTATAACAAATCCAATACAAATATAAAGTATGTTTTTTAAATGGAACTCAAGCTTGGCACAATACTAAACCTGGAGACATTTGTAATGGTGCAGTATAAGATGACACTGTTTTAGGCTTTTTCTATAAAATGTAGTTCCTTGACTTATAACACATGAAGAATTCTCTGAGAACCAAAATCTGAAAAAGGAACATGAGAAGTCTTTTAGAAAGTACCAGAGCCTTCTGATCAAACAAGAGCATCTTCTCAGAGGTAACTGTTGAAACGTTTTGTTCAATTTATCTATCCCATACTGTAGTTATCAGAAAATATTTGTTTATGGAACACTTCTAGAATATGTATGTTCAATGCACTTGTGCAGGTTTGACAACATTTATCTTAAAGATGTGAAAATGTACCTGATGTGCATTATTGATTAATTCATTTATTAAGCAGATCAAGAAGAATGGTTCTTTCAAACTTCTCCAATTTGACAACTGCTGCTTTCTTCTGTTATTTTATTTTCAAACTAAATGGATAGACAAAACAATTTGTTCAACATTGATGGAAACGACTGATCAATTAAAAAATGTTTTGTCGAGGACTCAAGAGGCACACTTAAACTAAAATAGATATAACTTACAAAAGCAAGAAAACACAGCCAGGGAGTACAAGTGAGTTGCAGCTAGATTACTGTCCATGTTTCCCTGCCTGATCCTGTTGTCTCTGACACGTTTCCTCCTGCAGTTGCTCTGGGCCTGCTGCTGAACCTGGCTGAAGACACCCGCACAGAGCTGAAGATGAGGAATAAAAACATCGTCCACATGCTGGTGAAGATCCTCGACCGGGAGGACGAGGAGCTGCTTTTGGTGGTTGTCTCCTTCCTCAAGAAGCTCTCCATCTTCCTGGAGAACAAGAATGATATGGTGAGACAGGGAGTTATTTTTTTGTTAAAGGTCCCATGTCATGCTTTTCCGGTTATTACCCATCCCCTTGTGTGTTATGAAGGTTTTTATGCATGTAAACGGTCTGCAGAGTCACAAACCCTCAAAGTACACCCTGTAGCGAGTAAAACACAGAAAAGACCTGTCTATGCTGCCCCAGAATGCCTCGTTGGAGATTTCAATTTTTCCATTGTTTACTTCTTGGGTATAGTGACGTACGTAGCGTAAGGGCGCTAAGAGCCGTTACGTTTGGACCAATCCGCGGACTTCCTCACACACACACACTCGGCGGAACGTTGCGAGGCTCGCTGCTGCAAGGAGCGGGACACTGTGAGCCGGCTCACTGGTGTGGGATCGGCGAGACAGCGTGAAACCGCGGAACTCAGCCTGGGCTCACACACAAACTCCCAGCCAGGCTGCGGGTGTGTGTGTGTGTTTGGGGCTGGGTTTCGCTGTGTCTCGTTGTCTCGCAGACGGCCACTGGGCTCAACAATGGAATTATGATCAGTAGAAACGGCCATGACATGGGACCTTTAAGATATATAGTAGCTTTATTAAGTGTCACCTATAGAGTGCTTCAGGGATGATGTATTTCTCTAAGCTGACTTGGAATTTTCCATTGCCTTGTCTCCCTCGACAGAAAGCCAAAGGGATATTTCATTTGGATTTCAGATTATTGTAGAAAGTAACTTCTGTGGTAAACAAACATTTTCTATGGTTACGCGATTGGTTTGGGGAGACATATTTACTCCACTTCAATGGTGGTGTTTAATAATTATAATTGTTTTGTGTCGACTTCAAGGATCTAGATTTTGTTCATGTTGCTTTGATTCATTGTTATGTCAAACATGACATGTACAGTATCATGGATTTTGAAAGTAATTTAATTCATTAATCTAAAAAATGGATTCATCTTAAATAAATATTTCTAAAGGCTTAAAACTACTAAAACATAGGCAGTAGGATTATTTTAATCATGCATTTTTAAATCTCAAAATATATATTTTTAAATAAACACCTCTCACATTACAGTATATTTTTTACTTTAATTATGAGTGGCTTTAAAACGTCTTGGCTTTAAGAACCATGTATGATTATAACAAAACATTTGAATCTAACTTTTAATAATGATTTAAGTGTCTGCGGTGGCAGCCCTGCAGAACTGTTCATTGTTTGAAATGAAGGGCGTCAGTGTGCTGTTTTGACTTTTTAACAACTAATCTTCTTTCTTTACATCTCTAATGAATGTGTTTTTTACAACGGTGTTTTTGAGACATTTAACTCAATTCGTAAAGTTAAGAGGAAACAATCTTTCTTTATTTGTTCTGTAAAAAACTCCCAAAGTCACTTTGACAAATGGCCTTCCCCAGAAGAAATGCCGGTTGAAACCACGCTTATCAAATTTCAATTTAATAAATGCTTAGAATGTCCGCTTTTGGCCACGTGTCCCCCAGCACTCGTACAGGCACCTCAGCGCTCCGACTTTCCCCTAATCCAGCCCCACCTGGTTCCAATCTCACTCAGTTTGCAGGACTTTATCAAAGCCAGACCCTGTTAGGAACTGGTTTTATCTCCTTGTTTCCCCCTCAGTGTATCTTTGATTCAGATTAAAGAACCCTTCAGGGGGTTTGGACCCACTCAAGCAGGGAAATAGTGGTTTCAACACTTTCACTCTGTTGAGTATATCAGTTTACACATGGGGAAATATGTTTCCATTTAAAGACATGGGTGTTTAATTGATTACATTAAAGAGTGATCACTTAATTATGCTGTATGTCATCAGGTTTTATTTACTCCGCAAATGTATTGTGACTTTCTCCAAATCAGATATGTCTCCCAAAACAGTGTGATGAGTTTATTTTGCTGTCGCTGTCACTAATGGAAGGGGAATGTCAGTGGTAATTGATGCAGGCTGCAGTTGATTATGCTGCTCAAGGTCTGGTTTGTGATGGTGCGACTGGAGCTGGTTTTGCGCACAGTAGCAGCGAGTGCGTTTTAACTGGGAGCAGGTTGCGTCACTGTGATATCTGGATGTGGAGAGACCACAGCAGAGGGGAGACGGGCATGTTAACAAGCGGCACCGGCTGACGAGCACTGCTGCATCACTCTGACAGTCATATTGACAGCATGCATTCCAAACAACACCACGCTGTGCACCTTTTCACACATCAGTGTTCCTCTACAGAGTCGCTGGGGCGTGACTTTGTGTTTTTAGTCTTAGTTCTGTGTCATCAGCTCAACACCTCCACCTGCCTGTAGATCATGTGAACCTTGTCCAAGCTTGTCACCAGGTTATTAAAAAAGTAATAGCAAGATATCAATATGTTATGCAGATGTTTACTAATGTTATTTAAGTGTTCTAATTCATCATATTTCAAATACATCATGACGTTCCTGTATTTAATGCAGGCGTGTTAATGGATGGCAGGTCTGAACAGTTAAGGCCGACAAATAATGTAAAACAATTTTAACTTTTTGTGGAATAATTGAATGCAAACGTTCTGCCCATGTATATTTTAAGTCTGCAAAAAATAGATAACCAAATTATCTTTTTATTATTCTCTTCAAACGTCATCTTTTAAGCATTTCAGCTGTAGAAATGTCATCCATTATGGTCTTTTCTTTTGTGGGAAATACTGTTTTTAACTGCTTAAAACAAAATTAAGTATGCTTGATAATATTAGTGGTTTTAGATCTATAAAAAATATGTTCCGATGTTCCAATAAAAAAAATAAAAAAGTGTTGTTCTCACACTGCTCACACATGTACAAAACATTTTCCAAAGATTAATAGAAATGCATGGTGGCAACTTGTTTGTGCTTCCCCAACCTGTTGCGTGACTCATATACTGGCCTATCGACTGCTAGTATTATTACAGATGCCAGTTCTCGTCTGGAGCAGAACCTCAAAGTGTTTGTTTCACTTGTCCGTTGTCTGCAGGCTGAAACGTTTGCCGTGGAGAAGCTGGCTCGGCTGGTTCCCTGCGAGCACGAGGAGCTCCTGAGCACCAACCTACGCCTCCTGCTCAACCTCTCCTTCGACACGACGCTGCGCAGCCACATGGTCCAGGCAGGACTCCTTCCCAGATTCTCGTCACTGCTCGGTAATACGTCTCACTGTTTACTGATGACTGTTTGTATTCCTGTAGTTGTGTTTATGCTGGTTCATTGTGTGTATTTATCTGTGTGTTTATCACTGAGGCTGTTCTGTCTGTATTTACATCAGGGGAATCATTATTTCAGGTTTTCACTCCTCACAACAGACACATGACAAAGAAACACTCATCCATCCTCAGCCGGCGGTGGAGCCTCTAATCTGTTATTACTGCGGCGTACTTGCAGGTGCAGCTTTTACACAGCACCCAGGCCTCTGGTGGCCATTACAGCAGTGACCTCCTGAAATCTGCAGAGCATGCGATCGTGCGATGTCTCATCCGTGAGGTCGTGTGACACAGTCAGAATCATATCTGACGGGCCTTTTGAAGCCTCTCAGGGGGAGGCTCGGGTAACGGCGCATAATTAATGTAATATATTTGTTAGAATAACATGCCAGAGCCTCTGCACAAATGTTGTTTTTGCAGGAGCGAGCAGGAGAGGTGGAGAGGTCTTCAGAGATTTAGGGAAGGAGGGCTGTTTTTTGGGAAGTGGAGGGGTGGGGGCTGCTCATACAGGAAGCAAGGCACACACATAATATAAGTTAACAGTGAAATATTACGCCTGCTCACAGTTTTGACACTGTTGAGTTTGCCTGTATTTGTGTGTTTGCGTATGTGTGTAATGCCCTCTGTATGTGAGCCGATGCGTCATTAATCATCTGCTTCACTGCTGACTGTCCACCTTTTCAACTGACACACTCTGCATGAGGACTTTGCTCTTATCTCTTAGAGAGAAGACAGAGGAGGTGTTTATCAGCCTCCACCCTCGCCATCCATCCCTGACCCCAGGACAGGACCCCTGATGATGAGATGAAAGTGGAGCGGGAGCCTCCACTTGTCATCATCACCATCATCACATCCCAGTAGATCCATCCCATCAACACTTGAGCTCAACTTAAAGTAGAAGATTCCTCCTAGTAATCGTTTGACTAATGTTTACAGAAAGGGCAGAAATAATGAATTGATTAGTTAATTAACAGAACTATATTATTAAAAAAAAAAATAGTTCAAGTAATTTGGAAGGAAAAATTCCAAAGGTTGGTCTGGCGAGAAAAAAGGCACTTTGACTCGATGGCTTTTTTGCGTCAGCATAGCTCAGAAGGTCTGCGTGATGTTCATTTTGTGTCCATTCATGGCCCAAGTCTGAAGATTTCTTGTAAATATCCGTACGTAGCTTTCACTCATCCACATATGATACAACCCAGTTAAAAGATTCAATCTTTGAGTACAGGGGCCGTCAAGCAGGACAATGATGCCTCGTTGACTGTACGCACGGACCGAAAAGAGCTGTCTGCACCCGTATGTCCAAAATACCGCCTGTAATATAATTCAAACATTTCTTTACCTCTTAACGCTTTAATACTTAATCAGATTGTCTTTTTTCCCTTGTTGGGTTCCACTATTATATACTAAAGAATTAATTTACAATTAAATAGGTGATAGATTAATTAGCAGATTAGTAAATGATCAGGAAAAGAATATTAGTATATGATAATGAAATTAGTTGGACACGAAAATGTATAGGCATCAAGTCTTGCCAGACATTCTCATTCTTTTCAAATGCGCCGCAGAGTATATATATTTTTTGCGCAAAACTAAATACATTTTTTAAAATCTGTTAATCAACCAAAAGTATTATTAATAATTAAACACAATCATTTGCAGCAGCCCTATTTACAGAATTGCCACTCACTCCAAACTTCCTTAACTCTTTTAATGCAGCATGTTGACCTTCATTACATTGCAAAAACAAATTAGGGAAATTAAGTGAGGGTGGGGCCCAATTTTTAAGAGCATTTCACCCCCATCATGCGGTGTGTGATGTCTCCAAAGACCCAACCCAGCTTGCTTGTTTATCCAGAAAATGCAATAACAACGGAGTGGCGCTGTCCACAAAAGCTCGCCCAGACGCCTCCTAATGTGTGCGGGTGTAATTTTACGAAGTTTGGGGCGGTTTTAAATCAGGCTGGGGTGTAATTGGAGATTAGCTAGCTCACTAACTGCCCCTGAACAGTCTAGTTAATTCTTAACAGCTCCCCTTCACCTTTTTTTTTCTCTCTTGCCCCAACCCTACCAGTGTTTTGAACATTTAATAGGATCTCTCTCTTCGCCCAGAAAGGATCCTCCATGTTCCTACCAGCAGAGTGAGTCGGCAAGGTCTGCAGGAGCTTATTGCCTCCGTCTGTGCGCTTGGTTTTTTTCATGTGCATTTTAAGGTATCGGCTGAGGTAAAGGATCGCTAATGAGAAGCACGTGTTCTGGCCAATCGCTGGCCGCGCTGGAAGGTCCAGAGCAGCAAGCGGCGTAGCTTAAACTTAAGGCAGTAAAATTGATGCTTCCTCCTGTTTTCCCAATTAAATCTAGAAGCCATCTCTCCCTCCTGTGATTCCAGGGCTTCACTGAGCACATCTGGATCTTATACTTGGCGATAAGGCTCCCTGTATGGCCAGTGACCGAACACGGCTGGGACCAGTTTTAACTGGACCTGGTCGGGCTTCTGGAGGCTGGTGGGCATTACAGGAGGTCTGCCGGTGGTTCTGCTCCAGTGAAGAGCCTCTCTCTTAACACTTCTCTTAATGAAAAGTTCCCGGGTCAAACTCTGGTCTGAACTCTGTTAATTCTCCCGGGCTGGCTCCTCCTCCAGCTCCCCTCCAGCTCTGGTCAGAGGTCAAACTCATGAAAGTCTTGGGCTCACTGACAGTCTAACACTCAATCCATTCTGCCTTTATCTCCTCCATGTTGCTGTTGAGGCCTGATAAGCTCACAAAACTGTAGATCCAGAGTGTAATACATTTATTAAACATATATTTATGGATCAGTACAATAAATGAAATTAAGCAGTATCTATCTATGCAAATGGTTTTGGTTTTATTTATCTTGGTTTCAAGATAACTGACTCTATACTCTCTACTAACACTACAATGCAATGGAAGCGAATGCAAATCATACCCTTTATCATTGCCAGTAGGCACGAATGGCTTCTATAGATGCTTTAAATAATAAATATCTACATCTCAACCGATTGAAATACCTTCATTGTCATGCCTGTATTTAGTGTCATTTTCAATTATGTTTAGTGTGCTATTCATAGCTAAGGAATTATTAATTCAATTATATATATATATCATACATATCAATTACTTATTCATAAGGAATTAAATATAAGTTCAACAATACCCAATTCAAGTGCAAGTTATAAAAAGGATACATATGCATGACATCGCCATGACACATTGTGTGCATAGTCTAGGTGTCTTTAATTGTGAAACTGAGAATCAGTGACAATGTATTGAAATAAATAGATCGACTGTATGCTGAACAAAAGGTGTTGATTTTGGAGGATTTGAGCTTGTTCCACTACCTCCAAGTAGCAAAGACATTATTAATGCAAGTTGATGTGTCTCTACACGAACACTGTCCCAGTCTCTCTCTGGAGAATCAACAGACCTGACTGTCCATAGTTTTCATTGGAACTACTTTCTGCTGTAGAAATGGTCCCTGTGTAAACCGTCCTCAGTAAAGTCTGTGGAGTATCCTAACACCAGTCACTGTTTCTGGAGGGAGAACAGATGTTTTTCAAATAAGGCTGGCATCCTTCTATATGTTTTCTATTCAAATCCCATGTATAGAACCAAACCAAAAACATGTTAGTCCGTCTCCCAATGCTCTTTCAACTACCGTCTGTGGCCCTCAGCTGTAAGCTACTGTTTTTTAACTGAAGATGTATATCTTATATTCTCCCAAATATAGTCTTCCTTCTTTATGAGGCTTAATACAAAAAATAAGCATTTGTTAATGGTAATCAAGGAAAAATGTCTTCCAGTGCAACCATGTGGCTCATTGAGGTCTTTAAAACATTCTGCACAACAATGGACCTCTATAGCACAGACGAAGAAGATATATTAGGCTTTGATAGACAATACCTTTTAGTAGATGCATTCCATTTTGGTGTGGCTCCAAATGTTTTGAGAAAAGGGAAATAAAATATATTGTCAGACTTATCCCTAGCTGCTGTGTGTAGCAGAAATGTAATTCCATTTCCCCTGATTTTGACAGACATCTGGATATCTCAAAACCTGAATAACGTATTTTAGTACAACTGTCCCTTTGAGCAGCATGAAAAGCTTGCCTTTCTTCTGCAGTAGCCTGCTGAAGATCCACATTTAACCTTTTAAATATTGTTTTTCCTCTGCTTAGCTGCCTGTGAGACACGACAAATTGAGAAACTGCAGCCGACTCGTGCTGATTCTGCACCTAATGCAATTTGACCTCCAACAGAATTCCCTTAAAAAGGCCATTCAGCTCATTAATATTTTCAAAAAACACATAGCTCTCCTAGATGTAGTCATTGGCATCCCACGAAGCGTAAAGGCACAACCAGTCATTCACGCATTGACTTTTCTCCTCCTCCTGTGTTTATGTTGCAGCTGACGAGGGCCAGAGACAGCTCAGCATGTGCATTCTGTACCACATCAGCATGGACGACAGATTCAAGTCCATGTTTGCCGACACAGACTGCATACCGCAGGTAAGACTGGCTAATGTATACAGCCAGCAGACCAAGACAGACACATTAGCATGGGCAGCTAACGGCAACCGGGAATGAATGCATGAGAAACAGTGAAGGGAGGGACCCGTGCCATATCTGGAACCAAAACCACTGATGCACAGTCTTTGCTCGCACTGCAATGAAAACCTGCAAACCTCCTCATTTCATTTCATCCTTTTCTGTATCTTCTCCACATACCCTTAATTAGCATTGCCAAACTGGTCCATCAACAAACAATCAGCACTGTTATGTCCAAAATGATTTGGAGTTATGATCAGTAAAATTAAGTTCACAACTAAAGTTCAACACCCCTCAGGCGTGTTTCTTTCAACTTTCGATCACAACATTTTTGTTGAGTTACACTCCCTCCTGATTGAGTTGACCCGGTCAGTCGCTCCTCTCATCATCGGCGATTAGCTAAATGTGCGTTGTGTTTGTTTGTTGAGATTGGGTGTAAATGCGGGCCAGATGTGGCCGGGAGAGTCGCCTGTTTGTTCAGAAGGTCACGTCAGCAGCAGATCTGAACCCCAGGCTCCCCCCGTGGTAGAAAGGATGCGGGGCAAGCAGCATGACCAGGATGTGACCTCCGACTCCGCCCCGAGGCCCGCTCACTCTCACCTCACCACCCTCCTCTGCCTCCATTTCTCTAATGTTATCAATCCATCTTCAGCTCAGAGCAAAATGTGAAGCTGCATGTTGTTCTCTCCTTTTTTACCTTCAATCCACCAACTGGAGAGGATAGAGAATCGATGACGGACACTGTTTGACAGAACAATTAAGAAGAACAAGCTTCCTGTATTTGGAGAGTTGTATAACATTAGGAGGAGTTACATTGTACAGTTATATGCATTAATTGTGAGTTTATCATAAAATATTCTTATGATTTACTTGTTCAAAGTGCTTCAAAAACAGGATTTTACTGTGGTCAAAGGTTTTATGTCATAAAATCAGAAAAAAGTTGTTTTAAACCAAAAAGAAGCCTGTGGATGCAGGTCTTTAAGTAAAACCACATGAAAACGCCATTGCAAAAGCTAATATTCATACTTAAATCATTTATTAGAAAATGAGGTCAGTTTAGTGTGGACATAGTTTCAGTTTTTATTTTTATTTAATATTATTTGTATCTTCATCCCAAATTTACCCCAATAATAGTCCAACTCTCCTCGTGTTCTTGTCACACATGATATCAAAATATTCCTCTAACTGCCTTGTCTGTAAAAAAACGTATATATAACGAACAGCTTCACCCAGTTCCCCACCTTTTTTACCCTCTCACCTATTTAGTAGTTTTAAGACTCTTCTCTTGTATCGCTTTCCCAGGCTAGTGACTGACCTGCCCCTTTCCCCTTCTCCAGCTTTTAATGGGGTCACCGTTTGGTGCTGGATTTGGAGTTTCCAGATCGGGGATGTCAGGAGGGAGGGAGGAGAGGAACAGAGGTGGAGGTTGGGGACGGAGGTGTGTGAGCTGGTCAGGCTGCAGCGTGGCGTTGGGCCCTGACTGGGCCTCCGGTGGTTGTCTGTGGTAAATAAGCAGAGGCAGGTGCCAGAGAGTCTAGACGAGGCTGATTTGGGGTCCGGGGCCCCTGGTATGTGATACCTTACCCAGGCCCGGCCCAGCCTTTCTCTCCCTCTCTCTCTGATTCCTGACTCCTCACAGGGAAGCAGTGCACCTCTGCCCCCCCCACCCTCCCTCAGCTCTTCCTGTTTAATGTTAAATCAGTGCAGGAGAGACGGACAGACAGAGGTAGGGAGGAGGAGGAGGGTATCAGGGAGGATAGAAATGACACTTGCCTTTATCTCAAACACTCTCTTTCTGAATCACACTTATTTGATATCATAATTTTCAGTTTTATTTTCATCCCCCCTCCTCAGCTTCCTTTTCTCTCATTGGCTCTAACAGCAATGATTGGCTTTAACATAATCAAATAGACTACAGGGATGTTCTTAACAAATGTGAGGTTTTTCAAAATGACATATTACAACCATGCACACAAACAAAGCCACAGACTGAAGACGTTTTGTTTCTTTTTGGGAACCACCTTCCTAATCAAACAAACACTTATGTGTGTAGTTGATTTATTTATCCTAATTCTCAGCGATGGTTGAATTAAGCTGTTAACTGACATTTGAAACTTGCAACTGACAGCTGATGAAGATGCTGTGTGACTGTGTGGAGAAGGAGATAGATGTGGAGCTCATCTCGCTCTGCATCAACCTGGCTGCTAACAAGAGTAATGCGCGTATCATCTGTGAAGGTATGAGCTCCAAAGAGACAATGAACACAACATATGGACTTTTTATTATACCGTATGTTGTTGAGTTATATTATGTGCTCTTTGTCCTTGCTTTCTTTCTCCTTGCTGCCCTAGGCAACGGTCTGAAGAGATTGATGAAGCGTGCTCTGAAGCTAAAGGATGTTCTGATGATGAAGATGATCAGAAACCTTTCTCAGCACAACGGACCCACCAAGAGCCTCTTCCTGGTCAGTGCCGGGTCTATTCAACTCAAAAACGTGTTTGCATTATGGTGGCCTAATGTCTATCTTGTTAACCCTTAGATGCATAAGTGGGACTTTTTTGACCCGGTGAGCTGGTTTTCTTGAAGTATCTTTTGTCGTTTCATATTCCAGCTATTCCTCAAAAAACATTTTTACATTTTAAGAAATTGTAGTTTTTGTATTACTACCCCAAGCTTCCATAAGTAGGTCGAAAACGTTTTTTTTCAAAATGTCAAAAAAAATGTCTAAAATTATAAATAGTGAAAAATTAAATATAAAAATTTCTAGTGTGAACCAAAATATAATACTAAATATTATACAAGTGATTTTTCTTAACCAACATGACAAAAATGGCATAAAAACACATATTATTCTAATACGGGTCCTTTTTGACCCACTAATGGAAGAGTCTATGGTCTAGCCACTCGTGCATCTAAGTCTTAAACACAAAATAGAAATTTCCTGGAGTAGAAGAAGAAATGTAGTGTACATCCATGGCTAGAGTACAAACAGGAACTGCTAGTAGTTTATACAGCATGACTTTTCATTGTTCAGAGCCAGCAGATGTTAAAGATCGGCAGGTCTCCCTTGTAAAAGAGATCGTTGGTCTCAATGGGATTTGTTTACCTGGATAAATAAAGGCTACAAACAAACAAAGAAATACATGCCCACACAGTGATTCCTCAGCAACATTACACTTTCTCTTCAGACTACATAAAGAATCTGAGAAACCCTGATGTCAAAATCTCAAATGTTGGATTCAAACAGGAAAAGAAAATGAGGAGTGACAGGTTTCTTGAACCGCTATAACACAGACAGCGATCCATTCATATAGAGAGATTTACTGTGGGTTGAAAACATGTGGACATACACGGGGGAAAACCTTTTTGATGGTATATCTGAGTAGCCTACCATACTCTGCAAAAAATAATATATGGCATACATAGCTGAAATGTGTAGCGACAATGCTATAAACCTGTAAGGAATATGGCGGAACAAATCTGTAACTGAATGCTGTTTTTTTTTATTTGTCCATATATTATCCCTCGTTTAAAGATAATATGTGTTTCTGCTTTTAGGACCATGTGGGTGAGCTGGCAGCTCAGATCAGTGAGGAGGAGGCGGAGGAGTTTGTGATCGAGTCTCTGGGCACGCTGGCCAATCTCACTATCCCCGACCTGGACTGGCAGCTTGTACTAAAGGAGTTCAACCTGGTGCCCTACCTGAAAGACAGACTGAAACCAGGTGTGTGTGAAATATTTCTTAAAGTTTGTGTTACATGGTGAAAATATTGCGATATATTTTATAAACACCAATGTAACAAAATACGCAGTAACGCATCCATACAGGAAGACCCTGCCACATTTCTATCATCTATCTCCTTTTAAAACCAGAGGCCTGGTCTCTCTCTCTTAACCCTTTAATCAGTGAAGTGTCCCTGATCATGAGGACAGAGAATACTCATTTAGGTCTGGGCCTTATCACTATCTTTGATGACCACTGACCTCAGCTTCACTTTTTCTGGCTTTTATAAAAGCAGAATTAAAAGTCTTATGCAATTTCTTTAGGTCATTCAGCATGATAGTAAATGGTGAAGAATGACAGAAAAGTTGGGAAAATTAAAGGGGAAGGAACATCAATGTAGTTATGGCCTCAATTGTGTGAACGCTGATTCAACAGCAAGAACGAGAACCCTGGCATATTTAATATAAGATCCATGTTTGTTGTATGTTTTGATACTCGTGCCAATGCAGTATCAGAGTTTCAGCTCCCTTACAACACGTTTTTGACACTTGACTTAGACTAGTAAATTCGCTTTTCTACATTCCATTCCAATGTTCTTGATTTTTTTTTTTTTTTTAACAGCCAATCAAATACTTGGCTAAATTTAGTCTAAAATCAACAAAGCTGTTGTAAATATATTGTTTCCAAACTAACGTAGAGAACACTTTTATCCTAACCTGACATTCCTAACTGCCTTTAAATGGTCGCAAAACCTGGTGCTAGGCCCATGTTAGGTCAATGCAAAAATTATAGACACATGCATTTTCCAGCATTTGAACTACCTATGTTGTAAATGTATTATCTTTTTAATTTACACACAACATCTATTACACGTCTGTGCATCCTGGGAGAGGGATCCTCCTCTGTTGCTCTCACCGAGGTTTCTTCCGTTTTCCCCTTTAAACTGGGGGGTTTCTTTGAAAGTTCTTCCTTGTCCGATGTGAGGTTCCAAGAACAGAGGGTGTCTTATTCATATTCTGTATAAACTGTAAAGTCCACTGATACAAATGTAAAATGTTTGATATTGGGCTTTATAAATAAACTTTGATTGATTGATTATAAAAGCAGTTTTCCAGACTGCATTAATATTAAGACAAAGCAGTCAAAAGAACTCCATCCAGTTTCCCTTTAAACTGTGGGTTTTCTCCGGAAGTTTTTCCTTGTACGATGTGAGGGTCTAAGGATAGAGGGTGTCGTTTTTTCTCATACTGATATTCTGAACAAACTGTGCTGTTGTATTAGCTGTAAAGTGTCTCTACTGTAGGCTATTTGTATTATATGTACAGCACTTTGGCTCGACCAAAAATCGTTTATAATGTGCTATATAAATAAAACTTGATTTGATTTGATCACCTCTGTGTGTTCAGAACCAAATACTCACAGAACATGCACGTTTTCCCTGGCTCAGCATTATTTGATTCTACTCGTTTTCAGAGGCCAAGTGTTTTCATTTTCGTCCTCTCGACTTGTACTTTTCCCTGATGTCAGGGTCTGCTGAGGATGACCTCATTCTGGAGGTGGTGATCATGATCGGCACCGTCTCCATGGATGACTCGTGTGCAGCCATGCTGGCCAAGTCTGGCATCATTCCTGCACTCATCGAGCTTCTAAATGGTAAGAACCAACTCCCATACTGCAGCTTTCCCAAGGATTATGAAATGTACCATGTAGTGTTTTTTTAATTAGCTTTTAATGCCAGAGACTAAAAGTCAAGATCCTACATGGATAATGACTGTTATTTAAATCTAAAAAATGAAATATCTGATTGGGGGAAAATCCTTCTGTCATCCACTTTGAAAATCTTATTTTTATTTTCCTTCTCTACCTGTTTCCATCTCAGCCCAACAGGAGGATGATGAGTTTGTGTGTCAGATTGTCTACGTTTTCTACCAGATGGTGTTCCACAAAGCTACCAGAGACGTCATAGTCAAAGACACGCGTATCCTTTTGCTTATTAAAGTATGATTCCACATTTCTTACCCATTGAAAGAGATTTATGTTTAGAGATACAAGACATCGACATGAATGCAATTAATGGATTTCTAACCAGTCATGGTCATACTGGCTGTATATTTCTCTCTCCAGAGTTACTATATTTTCCTTCTTCTTTAGTGTGTGTGTCTGGGCCTTTAGTCCAAATGTTAACTCCCAGGACTGTACTGTATTTATCTCTCCTTGCTGTTTGTCCCCAGTTGCTTCTTCATTGCAACCTCTTTAACCCCTCGATTTAGTTGTTTTTAACCCTCTGGGCATTCTTAGCTGCCTGTAATTGTGCACAGTTGTGGTCGGCGTTGGCGGTTTGTTTCAAATTACAAATATGCCCTCTGTCAGCACGATTGATGTTTTTCTTTCTGCGTGAAGAATAGAACAGGAATATCTTATGTAAGCACCGCTGTAGGAGGAAAGTGTTCACTTCATCACAGGAAATGCAGACAGTGGTTCCTCCAGCCGCAGGGCACCTGTCTCCAGTCTCTGTCATTAAATCAAAGCGTAGGAGAGGACCACAATACCACCACATCCCACCATTCCCCCTGCGATTGATTAGGGACACACAAGTGATTGTTTCAATGTCCCAGAGCAGAGAAAATGTTTTCTTTCTTTGAGTCCTAATCTCAGAAGCCCCTGCATACCTCATTGACCTGATGCACGACAGCAACACAGAGATCCGCAAAGTCTGCGACAACACGCTGGATATCATCGCTGTGAGTAAACACATGTCTTATGAACATCGTTTTTACACTCCATTTGATAACTTGGTTCCAAGGTCACAAGCAAAGGAATAAGGAGTTTAACATAATCATTTTCCCCAATGTTTTTTTAACACTTATAACGATAATATTTGACGTTTTATTTTCAGAAAAAAAAGAAAATTGGACACAAATATTCAATATTATAAAATCAAGAAAGCCAACGGGAATTTGGTTTTAAGTGTGTGTTTTAAGGAATTGCACTCATTTGGGTTATGTTAAGGAAGAGCAACCGCAACAACGTGTTTGTTTGGTGAACCCAGGTTTTAGCTAAAATAGGAATATTCACAAAATCTACAAAAAATAATCATGTTGCTGAAGGTTTTAAAACAAGATTTTGACACTTCCACCAAGGATCTGAATTTAAATGATAAAGCAGAGCCACTAACAAAATTAGATGGATCAAACTGCAACAGACCGAGTCCCACAAACTAATGCTTTTGTGGGTCTGTGGCCTTATTCAGCTCAGTTCCATACAAACATAAAACATTTTGATCTTTTCCAAAGTCCTTACTTTTTACTGATGTGCCCGAGTCAAATTTGACTTTGGCAATTAACAAACCGATAAACTCCTGAGTCACCTTTTGTGACTGACAGGTGTGGTCAGCTCCCAGTCAGTGAGTGATCGCTGCCAGACCTCAGATCAGCGTAATTAGCTGTAGATTACAGCTAGGGAGTGCAGCGGGGCAAAGGAAGTGTTTCATTGAAATTATCAGTGAGACCTATTAAGCCGTGAGCCACATGAAAGGCAGCTCTGGAGTGTGTCAGCAACTGGACAGCAGAGGTGAGAGAGAAACCAGAAACAGAGCTGCGGACACACACACACACACACACACACACACACACACACACACACACACACACACACACACACACACACACACACACACACACACACACACACACACACACACACACACACACACACACACACACACACACACACACATACACAATCATTAAGGGATCCTTTTGGCAGCACACGCCATAATGCTGCAGTCCTGAAATGTTTGGTCTTTGATCATCGTGGCCCTGATCATGTACAAACACACACGTGGCTTCAGGAGGAACTTTGTAGAGGTTCCAAGTACAGAGGCTTAATTCACTGTGATTTATTCTTAGCCCGGCCACATTTCCAGAGGAATATGTTGAAAAGCTTCCAAAACTGTTGTGCATTTCCTCGCCCCGCTGTGATGAGCTCATTCTGTGATGAGCTCAGCTGCTAACAACTGATTAGGCATATTTAACCAATAGAAAAACATGATTGTTCAGTGAAAAACATGAGTCATAATGCTTTTTCAGCCCCTGCTGACAAACTGTCCCACTGTCACCTCCACTGTTTTGGGCGAGGTGGCCCTCTGTGACAGTCAATAGGCCTGTATGAGTCTGGGGTCTCTGCTGGCTGTCAGTACCCGCGGGGCTCTGCTTTGCATCCGAATGATTAATCTTTCGGGCTGGTTCGTTGCGGTCTCAAAGGCAGCCTTTATCTCTCCCCCTTCAGCCCCCGCAGAGAAAAGAAAACAGAACTCTGTGGTAGTCTCTGCTGGGCTACGCACGCAAACAGGGGAGCGGACGAAGGTTTTTTATTAGCTGCAGTGAAGAGGACGGAGACGACACAGGGTCAAACATGAACTTGATACAGAGCTGTGATTTTACTTGTATGGTCTGTTGTGCCTTGTGGCGATTGGTCAGTATAGTATTTCACATTTTGTGCCATGTCAAAACCACAAAGTGAACCCTCTCCTCTATTAGAGCTCTGGCTCACCACTCTTATACACGATACATTTCCAGGATGTTCAAACTGTTTTGCTGAGGTGAAAAACTTGTTGTTATGAGAATGAGAAGATTCAATAAAGGCTGATGCATTATCCAACAACGCCCTGACATGGCACTAATTTCCTTTAATACTGTCGTAATAACATACATTCCCACTTCAACTATCTTTACCAAAGACCAAATGTATTAGGAGAAGAAAAAACTCTCATTAAGAAACGTAATTGTGTTCTCTCCTGTTTTGTGATGTATTGCCAGGGTAATTGTTCTTCTAACACTAATTTTTGCCAAAAGAGGCTGAAGTCTTTACCATTACTTAAAGTGAGAAAACTATTAATGTCACTAATTTGAGAGTGAGGTGAGAACTAATTGATATTCTTACCTCTACTGGCATCCATGGAAAACACTGCTAAAAGGAAGAAACAGAGATTTTACAGAAAAACGAAGCGCTGAACTAATTCCAACATTTGTCCTTAAAAACTTTTGATTTTGCAGCAATTTGTGGACATATTTCTGTTGTTTTCTTCTCCACCTGACCCTCTTTTTCCCCTCTTACATCCTCCCAGGAATATGACGAGGAGTGGGGAAAGAAGATCCAGAACGAGAAGTTCCGCTGGTACAACGGTCAGTGGCTGGAGATGGTGGAGAACCGTCCGTTGGATGAAGCGGGAGAGCCCTTCCTGTTCGGGGAGGACGGAGAGTCCTTCATCGGGGAGAGAGACATCATGGAGAGGCCCGACCTGTTCTACAGCCCTGGTACTGAGAGCTTTAAAGGAATAGTTCGCTTTAAAAAAAAAAAATTGAGAGTGAGATAAGAAGCTAGGTTACATGTTTAATAACCCATGTTCGTATTGTTTCATCCAGATGGGATCACGTCAACGGACGGGGCCATCAGTCCGGAGTTCTACACCGACCTCCAGGATGGAGAGCTGGGACAGTCCGGGTACATGAGCAGGTATTGAGCTTTCTGATCCCCTTTAAACCTAAACTAGGGCTAATAATTAATGTACTTTACCATATCTGTTTTTCAGCCATAGTCCATGTAATGTAGATGATGCAGGACCTGCATCATCCCCAATGAGTCACCATGATATGAAGTCAATGTTACTTCATATTTACTGTGAACCCTAAACTGTCAGTGTCAACACAAAACTGCACCAAAACAAACAATGCTGGAAACAATTTATCCTTTTTTTAACTGCTAGGTGTGTAAGAGTACTTAAGTTTCAAAATAAGAAAGATTGCAAACGGATGCAAATATTAAATGAGGGGAAAAAAGCAAATTCCTAATATGAATAATATATTTAATGCCGAAAAACAAGTGAGCAGATTGATGTTGTAAAGGTTTCCTTTTTTAAAAGCTCTATTAAATAATCTTTGTCTTATTGTGTGTGCACGCCAGCGTTTAGAGGGCATACAAACCATACAATAGTTTCATTTTGTCCTTTAAGTTATGGCAGAGGTTTTCAACTGTATTCACTTAAGCCATTCCAATATAGAAAATATACATGGGCCCCCAATCCGTGTATCTACTGTCCATTATTTTTCTTTATTAAACAAGTAAACGGAAGAGCGTCTGAGAGGCCTTTTTGCTTTTTTGCTTTTTACCTTACTAAATGGTCATTGGAGCGAGGGGCGGGGCGAAACAATCCGTGTATCTACCGTCCAATTGTTTTTCTTTATTAGACACGTAAACGGAAGACCGTCTGAGAGGCGTTTTTGCTTTTTACGTTACTAAATGGTCAAATGGTCATTGGAGCGAGGGGCGGGGCGAAACTCACGGAAGTGATTTCAAAACAAAAGCACTCGTTTGCTTGGAACGGTGATAATGTTAAGGGAAACAAGGTGAATTTAGCGATCACAACGAAAACGGCCAAGACACATATTGAGCCCAGAAAATGGATGTTATTAAGGGCTGTAAATATAATAAGCCTCTGTCTAAAATGGACAACATTGTTAGGAGATGTAAACTATACAGCGATTCTGCACTGCGGTCAACTCAGCCGCATCTCCACTTTGTTTTTTCAAATCAGCTGCTCTTCATTCCTGCTATATTTGACGAGTGATACAAATATGTTTTACCACAAGTTCTTAAGAAAACTGACAAGGTTGGACTCGGTTCTAGTTTGACTTCTACCAGAAATAAAATGAAGTACTTTTGCTGTGTACTTTGTGAGTAATCCTCTGTCAAAGTCCCCTCCTTAGTACATAATGCATGTTTTTCTGCTATATTTGATGAATGATACAAATATAATTTTACCATTAGTTCTTAATGAAATTGATACTGTTTGACTTTGTATTAGCCTACTACTTACAATACATTGAAGTACTTTTACTGTGTATTTTTTTGAGGAATCCTCTGTCAAAGTCCCCTGCTGAGAACAAAATCAAGCCATTTCTGCTAAGTTTGATGAGGGAATCCTTTTTGGTTGCCATTACCCAGCTAGACATTTTTGGTTCTAAAAACATTCTGAGAATGTTACAGTCATTGTTCTAGGAAGGTTTCAGCGGGAAGTTTTTGTTTG